CCGGTGAGTGACCCGGGACACGGCCGCGCTCCCGGCGCGGTCCCCGCTCGGTGACACCGCGGCCGTGCCGTCTCTTGCAGGGTTCGTGGCCACCGCCACCACCCCGACGGATCCGGGGACCCCCGCGGGGACCCCCCCCGTGCCGCCCCCGTCCCCCGCCGCTCCCCGCGACGCTCGGGGACACCTCGACATGGCCAGGGCCCGCGGGGACTCCCCGAGGCCACCCGCGGACGGCGCCGAGGACTTCTCCGGGGACGGCCCGTCCCGGGAGGGCGGCGGCCCCGCGCCCCCGCTGCCCCCGCTGCCCCCGGCCCCGCTGGTGGCCGAGGGTCCCGAGCTGCCCCCGCAGCCCCGCGGGGACGGCGGCGACGGCAGCGGGGCCGCGGGGGACGGCGCGCTGGAGCGGCAGAGGAAGGCGGTGACGCTCCTGGAGCCGGAGGGTCCCTCCGAGGGACGCCCTGCCGCCCCCGGCCACACCGAGGGGGCTCCTCCCGGGACAGCCGAGCCCGGCCAGGAGCAGCCGGAGCGATCCAGGGGTGTCGGGAATGGCGCGGCCGAGCCCAGCACCGAAACGGCCGCGTCCCCCCCGGCCCGGGGTGTCCCCTCAGCGTCCCCATCCCCCGCGGGCACCGAGGCGCTGCCGAGGGCCGGCACGGAGCAGCCGGAGGAGCCGGCGCTGCTGGAGCCGGGGGCCGAGGAGGGCTCCGCAGGCTTCGCTCCCCCAGAGCCGCAGCCCACCCAGCGCTCCGAGCCGGGGCCGGGGGCGGCCGAGCAGCTCCTCCTGTCCCCCCGCGCCACCCCCGGGCCCCCGACCCCGCCGGCCCCCGGCGAGGAGGACGCGTCCGGCGAGGCCAGGCAGGAGGAGCCCCCCGCGCCCCTCGGCTCCGCCACCCGCGGGCCCTGGCCGCCCCCCGGTGCCCCCCAGCCCGGGGGGACGGAGCCCGCCGCGTCCCCGAGCGCGGAGCTGCTCCCGGAGCCCTCGGCGGAGCCCGAGCTGGGGGGCCCGGGGGGGTCCCCGCTGCTGGACGCCGACAGCGGCAGCGGGGAGGAGCCGGCGCTGGACGAGCGGGAGCTGCTGGCCTGGGCGGGCACCGGCAACGCCAGCGGGCACGGTGAGCGGCGGGCACGGTGAGCGGCGGGCACCAGGGCTGTGGGAGGCTTTGAGGCGGAGGTTTGGGTGATATCGCTCCTTTTATCCGAATTTCCTCGCTCGGAGCCGATGGGGAGGGAGCGGGGGTGGCACCGCGCCCCCCAGGCTGGCTCAGGGCACCGGTGCCGCCCCGCAGCGCCGCCGGACCCGTGCCAGAACAACCCGTGCCTGCACGGCGGGACGAGCCGCGCCAACGGCACCGTGTGCGGCTGCAGCTGCGCCCCGGGCTTCACCGGCGAGAACTGCGAGATCGGTGAGTGCCGGGCACCGGGCGGGGGCGGCCCCGCGGCTCCGGGCGCTGCGCCGTGCCCCCTCCTCGCTCGCTGGTGTCGCCGCAGCTGCCGCTGTCCCCGCAGACATCGATGACTGCCTGTCCAGCCCGTGCCAGAACGGCGGCACCTGCATCGACGAGGTCAATTCATTCGTGTGCCTCTGCCTGCCCAGCTACGGCGGCAGCCGCTGCGAGAAAGGTGGGGACAGCCCCGGTGTCCCTCCGGTGTCCCCCCGTGTCCCCCGGTGTCCCCCGGTGTCCCTGGCCCGGCTGTGTCACCGCTGGACGCTGCTGAAGGGGACACAGATCCCGCCCGGCGGGGCCGCGGTCGCTCCCTGGCTGTGCCGCCACCGTCGCGCTGTCCCGCAGACACGGAGGGCTGCGACCACAACTGGCACAAGTTCCAGGGCCACTGCTACCGCTACTTCGCCCGCCGGCGCTCCTGGGAGGACGCGGAGCGCGACTGCCGCCGCCGGGCCGGGCACCTCACCAGCATCCACTCGCAGGAGGAGCACGCCTTCATCAACGGTGGGCCGGGGGTCCCCCGTCCCCCAATGCCCCTCCCCGGGCTCTGCTCGCCCCCTCCGTGCGAGCCGCGGCCGCCTCTCCCCGCAGGCTTCGGCCACGAGAACACCTGGATCGGCCTCAACGACCGCATCGTGGAGCAGGACTTCCAGTGGACCGACAACACCGCCTTGGTGAGGGCTCGGGGGTCTCGGGGGGATGGGGGTGCGGGGAGGGGGTGCGGGAGGCGTCACCCGCTCCGCTGGCCCCGCAGCAATACGAGAACTGGCGGGAGAACCAGCCCGACAACTTCTTCGCGGGCGGCGAGGACTGCGTGGTGCTCGTGTCCCACGAGATCGGCAAGTGGAACGACGTGCCCTGCAACTACAACCTGCCCTACATCTGCAAGAAGGGCACAGGTAGCGCCCCGTCCCGCAGGTGTCCCCGTCCCGCAGCCCCTGGTGTCCCCGTCCCCCAGTCCCGCTGTCCCTGTCCCCACCCCGCAGCCCCCAGACCTCTCCCCAACCCGAACCCCTCTCCCAGCACCGCTCCCGCAGTTCTCCCCTAAATCTCCATTTTTCCTCTTTCCCCGCGATCAATCCCTCCCTCAGCGCTCGGGTTTGTTTAATTTGCTCCCATCGAACCCATTAAATTCCCATTCCTTACCTCGGGAAGTTCCATTAACCTCCAGCCGCTCCTCCCCACCCCGCGCGCTAATGACGCCACAATAAGGCCATTAATTAACCAATTAAACCCTGAGGACAGCTCGCTGCCACCCTGACGGACGAGCCTGTCCCGAAGCCACCAGCGGTGTCCCCAGGGCTGGCCGGGGGTCTCCTGGGTGTCCCGGACCGCTGTCCCTTGTCCCCTCCCAGTAACGGGGGCTGACGGAGCTCTGTGCCCCCCGTACCCAGTGCTGTGCGGGCCCCCCCCGGAGGTGCCGAACGCTTTCCCGGTGGGGAAGAGGAGGGAGCGGTACAACATCCACTCCAGCGTGCGCTACCAGTGCCACGAGGGCTTCACCCAGCGCCACGTGCCCACCATCAGGTGCCACAGCAGCGGCAAGTGGGAGCGGCCCAAAATCCTCTGCACAAAACGTTAGTGGGGCACCCGGGAGGGGCTGATCCCCGCGGGAGGGGTCCGGAGCCCGGGGCTGACCCCCCCGCGTGCCCCGCCTTGCCCCCGTTAGCCAGGCGGTCGCACCGGGCGCGGCGGCACCGGCGGCACCGGCACAGCCACCCGCACCACCAGCACCACCGCCACAAACCGCGCAAGGAGCGGCGGAAACGCCGCCAGCGCCTCCGGCTGGACTGGATGGAGGAGGGCCACTACTTCTAGAGCCGGGCGAGCACAACGGGGTCCCCGGGGGGGGTGGTGGCGCCCCCCGGCCCCGTCCCACCCCTCCCGCCCCCCTTTTTTAGCCCCCTTTTGGCTTTAGCTCCGTAGGATGCCCGGCCCCGTAGGGAATAGGATCCGGAGGGGGCGGCTGCGTGTGCGCCCCCAGCCCTCCCTGCATGTCCCGCGCTCAGCCCCCGGCCCGGGCTGGGCCCCCAGCCCCGCACGGGGACCCCCAGGCTGGGCTCTGTCCCTGTCCCCAGACCGGGGCTGGATCAGGCAGCCCCCCTGTCCCACCCGGGGCGACTCTGGTTTTTTAGCAGCCCCCCTCCCCATTTCCCCGCCCCAGCTCCCCGGAGCGTCCCCGCGGCCGGCACGGCTGGGGCGGGGGGGACACGGCGGCTGCGGGGTCCCCGTCCCGCTCTGGGGGTGCTCGGTTCGGTTCTGTCCCCTCTCCGCTCGTTTCGGGTCCCCGTTGGAGTTGGCGTGTGCGTGTGTGTGTGCGGCGCTTTCCGATCTCTGCTGTTTGCGACGTGACTGCCGTGTCCCCTCCCCGCCCCCCTCCTGGCGCCCCCTCCCCATTTCTGACTCTGCCTTTCTGTACTGCTGGACATTTTAATAAATTTTTTTAACAGTTGAGCGACCCCCGCCCTTTCCTGGGGACCCCGGGACGTGTCCCCGCCTGGCGCCGCTCCCCAGCTGCCTCCTCTCACCGCCCCCATCAATCCCGAGCAGCCCCAAATTGTCCCCCAGGGTCCCCCGTGTCACATCCGCCACCTGCTCGCGGTGGTGGCCGTCACCTCTGTCCCTGTCACCCGCCAGAGCTGCCGCGGCGTCCCCCTCGAGATGGGGAGACGCCAATGGATTTTTTGGGGTGATTCCTGCCCAACACACCCTCCAGCACCCGCCCCCGAGGTTCCCCCGCCCCCTGTCACCCACGGCCCCGCTGTCCCCTCCCAGACATTTATTCCCAGTCGTTAAAGGTGATTTACGGGCTGCGCTCAGCCGGAGCGCGTCCCGAGCCCCTCCGGACCCCAGAGCAGAATATCCTGGAGTCTGGGATTGTGCCCCTCCCGCGGTGCCCCCTGCCAGCTCTGTGACCCCGGGGCGGCTCCGCTGCTGCTGCCGCTCCTTGGATCCAGCCCCGGCCGATCCAAGGATGCCCCGGGCGAGCGGGACCGGGCCCGGAGCCCCCCGGGCTGCCCAAGGACACAGCGGAGCCGCGCTCAGCTCTCCAAAGCGGCCGAAGCTTTTATTTCATCTACGTCCAGGGCTGCCAAAGCCTGCGGCGGTGCCCGGCCGGGTGGGCACAGCGCCCGCTGCCCCCCGGCCCTTCCCCGCTCTGGCCAAGCCAAGCGGGAGCTGCCCCGGGGGTGCGGGACCCCGAACGGAGCCAAACCCGGCGCCCCCATCCTCGCCCAGCGCCACGGGGGGATTTCGGGCTCGGTCAGCGCGGGGACGGGCTGAGGGTGCTGATGAGGATGAGGATGAGGAGGGCGGGGGCTCTGCGGCGCTTTAGCGCATGCAACAGGCGCGCCGAGAAGCGAGAGCTGCGGGAGCCGCTCCGGGCCGGGGCGCAGGCTCCCGGCGGGGCTCACCGGGCCCGGCCCCTCCCGCCGTCCCGGGGCCCCCAAGCGCCCCCGGGGCCGCCAGCCCGCGCCGCCGCCGCCTCTCGGTCCCGGCGGGGGCTGCCCGCAGCTCCCCGCACCGCGCGGGGCTCGGCACGGCCCACACCCCGAACCCCGAATCCCGAACCCGGGCGCGCTGCCCGAGCGTCCCGAACCCTCACACGCGCTTGGGGAAGCCCGCGGCCACCACGGGCGGCGCGTCCCCGGCCTGTTTGAAGCAGTACACGCCGAAGAGCTTGTACTTCTTGTCGGGGAAGCCGAGGTTGCGCACGCCGGGCTCGCGGCCGCCGCAGCGGGCGCGGGGGTTCACGATGGGGTAGCGGATGCTGCCGTCCTCCAGCCAGCCCGCCTCGCAGCGGTCCAGCAGCTGCAGCTTCCAGGCCGCGTACAGCTGGCCCACCTTGGCCACGGCCGCGCCGTTGTTCTTGCACGCCTGCACGGCCTCCGGGTAGCTCAGCTTGCGGAAGGTCTTCAGGAAATAAACTTTGCCTGGAAAAAGGGGGGATGAAGGGCATGGAGCGTCCGCGGTCCTGCGGGGTGGAGCCCCCCCGCTCCGGAGCCCCCCGAGGCGTCTTTTGGGGATGGATGGATGGAAGCCCTGTGGAGCCCCCAAAAGGTTTTGGGGAAGTTGAGGGATATCAGCGCTGTGGAGACTCCAATACGATTTTGGGGGCTGGAGGTGAGTGATGAAATCTCTGTGCAGCATCTAAAATATTTTCTTAAACAAAAGAGGTTTTTGCAAAAAAACCCCATGTTTTTGCGAAAAAAAAAAAAGTATGAAAAAGAAGGGATTACGGCCTCCTTTTCTTTTGGATGATAAAGAAGAGATTATGGCTAAAACCAAGAGGTCTTGGGTTAAAAAAAAAAAAAAAAAAAAAAAAAAAAAAGAGGGTTTGGCTAAGAAAGATTTTGTGTTAAAAAGAAGAGGGTTTGGATTAAAAAGAAATAGGTTTTGGCTAAAAACAAGAGGTTTCGGAGTTAAAAAGAGGTTTTGGATTTAAAAAAAAAAGAAATTTTGGCTAAAAAAGAGGAGATTTTGGCTAAAAAAAGAGAGAGTTGGGCTTTAAAAAAATGGGGTTTTTTTGCTCAAACTCAGTGTTCCACCCGCACAAGCGCTGCGTTCCACCCCCATCCCCCCCCCTCCCAGCACCGGCAGCCTCCGCGCCTCAGTTTCCCTCACCGTTGAGGTTGGAGGTGAAGCAGAAGGCGTCGTAGTGCTCGCTCTCCTTGTGGCGGTAGCCGTAGTTGCGGACGCCCACGGGCGTGTCCTTGCGGCCGCACTGCTCGCGGGGCCGGGAGATCGGGTACTGCACGGAGCCGTCCTGCAGCCAGCCCGCGTTGCACCAGTCCATGCCCTCCAGCCACGCCTGGTGCAGCTGGTCGTGCGAGGCCAGGATCCCGTCCTGCTCCAGGCACGCCTGCTGCGCCTCGTGGAAGTTGAGCGTGTAGCGCCCCAGGCGAGGGTGGTACGGGAAAATCACCCCTGAGAACGAGGGGTGGGGTTGGGGTGGGTTTGGGGTGGGTTTGGGTCGGGGTGAGGTTTTGGAGAGGGGGAGAATCGCCTGGAAAATCCCGCTCATCGTCCCTGTGCAAGGAGTTTTGGGCGTTCTGGGTTTTGGGGCTGCAGGGAGCCCCAAACTCCAGGAGATTCTGCTCTGGGGTTTGGGAGCACCGGTGGTGCCTGCGCGGGGTCCAGCCGAGCCCTGGCACCCCCAAACTGCGCCCTCTGAACCCCTAAAAAGGCGCTGACCGCCTCTGCCACCTCCTGAACCCCTAAAGCAGCATTTTCCCTCTGTCACTCCCTGTCCCTGCTGCTTTCTGAGCCCTCACGCCGCGACCTCCATGAGCCACCACCCCAAACCCTCCCCACCACCAAAACCCCGTAACAACCCCTCAGCCCCTGAAAATCCCGGGAATGCCACCCCGGGAACACCCCGAGCCACCTTCCAGGTCCAGTTTGACCACGCCGGTGTCATCCTCGAGCTCGTTGGTCACCTCGCACTCGTAGCGCCCGTAGTCCTGCAGGGTCACGTTGCGGATGATGAGGGACGCGTCGCCCGCGCCGTCCTCCTGCAGCGCCGTGCGGCCGCGATAGGGCCCGAACGCGCGGCGGGCCTTGCCCAGCGCCACGAACACGTCCACGAACGCCATGGGCTCCGTCACTTTGGTCCACTTGAGGCGGATCTCGGCCGGGTCGTGCGCGGTCACGTCGTAGTGGTAGCGGCAGGGCAGGATGATGGTGCCGCCGCGGTGCGTCACCACCTTGCCCGGGGCCGTCTGCACCACCACGGCGCCGCTGTCCCCCTCTGCGGGACGGGCACGGCTCAGGGCACCGCCGCCACCGCGGGCACGGCTCAGGGCACCGCCACCGTGCCGGGGATGGCACAGGAGGGACGGTGACCGCCCCAGGGATGGCACAGGGAGGGACAGACACCGCCACGGGGATGGCACAGGGAGGGACGGCATGGCGAAGAGGGATAAGAGTGTATTTTGGGTGAATTCTCCTCTTTCAGGGGCAGGAAAGATGAGGATGTGGGGTCACATGTTAGGGGAAATTCCTCTCTTCTGGGGGCTAAGTAGGATGGAGATGTGGGAGCATCTTTTGGGTTGAGTTCCGCTTTTTATGGGGTAAAGGAGGACGGGGCTGTGAGGCCACATTTGGGGGGAATTCCTCTCTTTTGGGGGCAAAGTAGGATAGAGATGTGCAAGCATCTCTTGGGTTGAGTTCCTCTTTTTAGGGGCAAAGCGGGATGGGGCTGTGGGGCCACACTTTGGGGGCAATTCCCCTTTTTTGGCAACCCTAAGGAGAGCTCGGGATAACCCCAGGACGGCTCCCACAGGACTGAGGGGCCACATCAGAGCCCCTGCCCCGCTTCGATGCCATTAAACCCAGCACCCCAAAGGCTGCGGGCGCTTCCCCGACCCCACACCCGCCGCAGCCCCACCGCAGACGCCACTCACCCATGACATGAACCACCTTCTTCCTGCCGCGGGCGGTGGGCAGCGCCTCGGGGGCCGCCAGGGCGGCGAGGAGCAGCAGCGCCGCGGGCCCGGCGGCCCAGGGGCTTTGGGGGCGCATCTGGGGGGGACAGCAGCGCCCTGAGCGCCCCCAGACACCCCGAGCCTGAGGGGACCCCCGGGAATGCCCACCCGAGGGTGCCCGCACCCGCTGCCACCTCCCCGTGCCCAGGCGCGGTCGGGCGGGGCTGGGGCGACTGCTGCCCCCCCGGAGCCCCCCCAGCCCCGCAGGGACCCCCGGCCCCGGCTCTGAGCTCGGGGGGCTCCCAGGCGGGGTGAGGATCCCGCGGCGGGCCGGATCTCCCCCGTTATTTACGGCACCTCTGAACGGGAAGCGATGGGCACGGAGCGGGCAGCGGCGCCCCCCGAGACCCCCGGCAGCGCCCCCTCCCCAAGGACAGCGCGGAGGGGCCGGGGGGAGCCTCCCCCTGCTCGGGGGGCTGCGGTGCCGAGCCCCGCGCTCTGGGGGCGCCCCAACTGCCGGCCTGGCTCTGGGGGTGCCCCCGGGGGTCCCATCGGGGGGCAGGGGCACGGACAGACCCCCGGCGGTCCCCGCTCCGTGTCCGGGGGCAGAGGCAGCGCAAAGGGAGCGGGGCAGCCCCTGCCCGGGGCTCGGGGTCCGCTCGGGGGGCACGAAAAGCGGGGCAACCCCCGGGGGTCCCGGTGCCCGATCGGGGGCTGGGGAAGGTGGGCAGCCTCTCGCGGTGGTCCCGGTGCCCAGCCCGGGCTGGGGGCGAGCGGGGCAGCCCCGGTGCCCAGGCGGACGGAGCGGGGCACCCCCCACCCACCACGGGGGTCCCGGTGCCCGGTCCGGGGGCAGGGGGAGCGGGAACCCCCCCGGGCTCTCCGGTGGCCGCCGCGGGGGCGGCAGGAGCGGGGCAGCCCCGCGGGTCCCGGCGCCGCTCGGGGCAGCTGCTGCGGCGGCGGCGGCGCTCGGGCCCGGCGCGGTGTTGCAGTGCGGGACACTGCGGCGGCGGCCCCGGGGCTGCGGGACTCCGGTGCCCAGGCGGGGACGGCGCAGCGCGGGGGGAGCCCCGTTCCCGCCGCCGCCGCCCCGCAGAGAGCGACCCCCGCCCGCCGCGCCCCTCCCGGTGCCGGGGGTCCCGTCCCGGTGCCCCGCGCCCGCCCCGCAGCGAGGGAGCGGCGGCCGCAGCCCCGCACTCACCGTGTGCCAGGTGCCGGCCCGCGGAAGGCGCCGCCGGTGCTGCCGGTAACTCCCCCGGTGCCTCCCCCGGTGCCTCCTCCGGTGCCCCCTCCGGTAGCTCCGCCGGTGCCGCCGCTGCGACACCGGGAGCTCGGCCCGGCCCTGCCCCGGTGCCGGCGCTGCGCAGGACCGGCCGCTCGCCAAGGTCACCGGCCCGCCCGGTGCGCCCCGGAGCCGCCGGCACCGCCGGGAGCCCCGGCCGGGCTGCGGGCACAGGAACCGGAGCCGGTAAATCCCCGCCGCGGGCGCCGCAAGGGCGGCTGTGCCCACCCCGCCCCAGCCCGGGCAACCGCCCGGCGGTGCCACCCCAAAATCCCGGTACCACCCCCGCCCGCCGTGTGCCCACCCCCCAAAATCCCCGGTACCACCCCCGCCGTGTGCCCACCCCCCAAAATCCCCGGTACCACCCCCAAAATCCCCCCCTGAGCCCACCCTGGCACCGCAGGGACCCCGGCCCAGCCCCGGCGTCCCCTGGGCACAGCGGGCACACGGGCTCGGAGCGAACTTTGGCTCCTTTATTTTGTCACCAACGTCCCCCCGGCGCTGTCGCCACCCCCGAACCCTCCCAGCCCGAGCCGGGGCACCGGGACGGGACCGCGACAGGACCGGGACGGGATTGGGACCCACCGGGAGGGACCGCGGCCCCGCCAGCCCCACACGGGCGGGGCTGTGACTGCAGCGATGTCCCCGCCGAGCGTCCCGAGGTCCCCTCACAGCTTTCGGGGGACCGGAGCATCCCTGGGGACACTCCCGGGGACACTTCTGGGGACATCTCTGGGGACACTCTGGGGACATCTCTGGGGACACCGCTAGGGACAACCTTGGGGACATCTCTGGGGACATCTCCGCTCCCAGCTCAGAACGGGGCGAGAGGCAGCGGGCGGGATCCCCCGGGTGGGGACAGCAGGACCCGGGAGGTGCCAGCAGCCCCAGGGTGTGACAGCAGCCCCAGGGTGTGACAGCAGTCCCAGGGTGGTGCCAGCAGCCCCGGGCACCAGCCGGACCCGTCACTGGCACTTTTTGGCGCGGGCCAGGCCCGGGCCGGCCGGGGGCACGAAGAAGGCCGGGGCGCGCAGGCAGCGCAGCGCCAGCAGCTGCGGGCCCAGCGCGTACAGGGCGTTGGAGAGCAGGAAACTCCAGAGCACCTCCTCGGGGGTCTGGTAGGGGAACGGCGTGCGGGAGTGCAGCGAGGAGCCTAGGTGGGCGAACTGAGCCTGCGGACACCGCGGCGGGGCGGGCCGGTGACGGGGGTGCGGCCCCGAAAGGTGCGAGCCCCCCGCCCCAAAGGGTGCAAAGCCCCGGCCCTAAAATGCGCAACTCCCAGGCTCAAAGAGTGCAACCCCGTCCCTAAAAGGTACAGAATTCCGGCCCCAAAATGTGCAAAAATCCCGGCCCCAAAGGGCGCAGACCCTTGGACCCAAAAGGTGCAAATCCCTGTCACAAAGGGTGCAAAGCCCCGGCCCTAAAAGGTGCAAAGCCCCAAACTCGGGGGGGTTTTTGGCTCCAGCCCATCCTATCTATAGCCCTGCGTCTCTCTCCATCCTATTTCTGTCCCACTAATCCCGGGTTCTGTCCAAATCCACCGAGGCCGAGGCAATTATCAGCCAGCCAAGCAAGCTGCTCCACTTGCAGCTGCGGCTGTGCTCTGCCCCCCAAACCCGGGATCTGCCCCCCAAACCCGGGATTTACCACCCAAACCTGGGATTTACCACCCCAAAACAGAGCCCCAACCCTTTACCGTTTTCCTGGCTGGGATGTTTCCCCCAAGTCCCGAGATTTTGGGGCCACCCTTTTTGGGATTTTTCCCCCTAAATCCCGAGATTTCGGGGCCACCCTTTTTGGGATTTTCCCCCCAAATCCCGGGGTTTTGGGCCGCCCACCTGCGCCACGGCTCCCGCGAACACCAGGCTCCAGTCTGGCAGCCAGGAGCAGCCGGGCACAGCCAGCCCGTAGACGGCGAGGATGAGGAAGGGCAGCAGGTAGAACAGGTAGATCAGCATCTGGGGGACACCCAATTGTCACCCCGGGTGGCTCCGGTGGCACCTGGAGGGGGTCCCGTGCTGTCCCCCCCCCTCACCTGCACTTTGGGGTAACCCACGGGGTCGCGCAGGTAGGGCTCGTGCAGGTACGTGTAGTCAAAGCAGGAATCGGCCGGGCAGTCCAGCACCACCTGGGGGGCACAGGGGAGCGAGGGCAGGGGACCCTCCCCGGGATCCCCAAAACCCTCCCCGGGACCCCAAAACCCTCCCCGGGATCCCCAAAATCCTCCCCGGGACCTCCAAACCCTCCCCGGGACCCCAAAACCCTCCCCGGGACCCCCAAAACCCTCCCTGGGACCCCCAAAATCCTCCCCGAGACCCCCAAACCCTCCCAGGGACCCCCAAAACCCTCCCTGGGACCCCAAAACCCTCCCAGGGATCCCCAAAACCGTCCCTGGGACCCCCGAGATCCTCCAGGACACCCAAAACCCTCCCGAGGACACTTGAGACCCCCCAGGACCCCCCGAGCCCCTCAGGACCCCCCGAGCCCCTCCAGGACCCCCCGAGCCCCCCCAGCCCTCACCATCCCCCTGAAGAAGGTGAAGGCTGCGGCGAGGATGAGGATGAGGATGAGGAGCAGGTCCTGGGGCCGCTGGTAGAGCGGTTTGCGCTGCTCCTCCGCGATCTGCCAGAGGAATTTCGGGGTTTTTGGGGTCCGCACCCCCCGCTCCGGCCCTGGGAGCCCCCAGACCCCCCGGCTCCGGCCTCACCTGCTCGGGGCTGAGGCTCGGCGGCGCCCGGGGCTGCCGGAACAGCCGGAGGCCGGCCCAGGTGAGGAGGAGGAGGTAGGGCAGGTTGAGGAGGAAGGACGGGCTCAGCTCGGGGCTGTATTTCCCTGCGGAGAGAGCGCGGGCTGGGCTCGGAGCCTTCCTCCCCCTCCTCCTCCTCCTCCCGGGGGTCGGGCCCGGCCCGAGCCCCCTCCCCACGGCCGTACCGATCAGGTTGCCCAGCAGGAAAACCACGGCGCTCATCAGCAGCGAGCCCAGCCAGAAGAGACCCAGCCCGCGGTAGCCCTTCCTGCGGGGACAGCGGGAGCCCCCTCCTCACAATTCGGCATTTTCCACCCCCCTTTGCCCTGGGATCACCCCCGAGCCCCCTCCTCAAAATTCGGCATTTTCCACCCTCCCCTTTCCCCAAGGATCACCCCCGAGCCCCCTCCTCACAATTCGGGATTTTCCGATGCCTCCCTTCCCCCAGGATCACCCCCGAGCCCCCTCCTCACAATTCGGCATTTTCCACCCCCGCTTGCCCTGGGATCACCCCCGAGCCCCCTCCTCAAAATTCGGGATTTTCCCGCCCCCCCTGAGCCCCCTCCTCAGGAAATTCGGGATTTTCCCGAGCCCCCTCCTCAGGAAATTCGGGGTTCTCGCCCCCCGAGACCCCTCCTCAGGAATTTCGGGATTCTCCCGAGCCCCCTCCCCAGGAATTTCGGGGTTCTCCCGAGCCCCCCGCCCACCTGCGCCCCGCGGCCGCGGCCATGGCCAGGCACAGCCCGTAGTGCACGGTGCCGTCCCAGTAGCAGGTGAGGAGCCCGTGAGCCGTGCGCAGGTGGGGATCGCCCTGCGGGACACCGGGGGGGACACCGGGGGGTCACAGCGGGGCTGGGGACACCGGGAGGGGACACCGGGGGTCCGGGGGTGCCGGAGCCGCGGTGCGCGGGGTGCGCGGGGTGCGCGGGGTGCGCGGGGCAGGGCGGCACCTCCCGCACGTAGAGCTCCATGAAGCCCGAGATGAGCCCGTCCTCCTCCAGCGCGATCAGCAGATCCACGGCCGATATGAAGGAGAACACCACGAGCACTGCGGGGAGCGGGGCGCTCCGTGCGGGGTCCCCAAAACCCCGAATCCCACATTCCTGCTCCTGCAGGGCCCCCAAAACCCCGAATCCCACATTCCTGCTCCCTGGTGGGTCCTGCAGCTCCCCCCGGATCCCAAATCCCAGATCCCAAATCCCTGCTCTGAGTCCCACTGATTCCCCTGAGATCCTAAATCCCTGCTCCATCTGGGTCCCACAGCTCCCCCCAAATCCCAGATCCCAAATCCCTGCTCTCTGTGCGTCCCACCGATCCCCCTCAGATCCCAAATCCCTGCTCCACGGGGTCCCACAACCCCAGCCCCCAGACCCCAGCCCCAATCCCGTCCCAGGGTCTCACCGCAGAACAGGGGGTCATGGACGAGGCCGACGCCGCCGGTGAGGATGAGGAGGGAGACGAGGCCGAGGAGCAGCAGAACCGCGGCCAGGGCCAGCGCCGGGGGGCTGCTGTGGGATCGGGGCCGCTGCAGCTCCGGCACGGCCCCAAATCCCCCAAACACTTCCAATCCCGCCGAGCTTTGGGATCGGGATCAGACCCCACAGCCCAGAGCAGGGCAGGGCAGTGCCCGTCCTCTGAGGGGGGAAATCTGGATCTGGGAATGACCCCAGAGGGAAATCCCAAAAGGGGGCAAACCCCAAGGGCGAGTCCCAAAAGGAAAGGGATGATCCTAAAAGAAGGGATGATGGGATCCCAGCAGGGATTGGGAATGGGAAAATCCCAAAGGGTGGGTGTGATCCCAGCAGGGACTGGAAATGGATGAAATCCCAAAGAAGGGTGAGTGTGACATCCCAGCAGGGACTGGAAATGGATGAAATCCCAAAGAAGGTGCGGATGTGGGTGTGATCCCAGCAAGGATTAGGAACAGGAATGGGGCCGGAGCAGCCCCAGTGTGTCTCCCAGTCCCTCTCCAGGCTGTGTGTTCGGAAAAGCCTCACACGAGACCCAAACCCCGCTGTGTGAGCCCGGAGCCGCTGGGATGGCCGGGAGCCGGGATCGGGAACTGCGGGCGGGCAAAGCGAAAGCGGCGCCCGGTGACAGCGGTGACAGCGGCGGGGACACGTCAGCGACAGCGGGGACAGCGGGGACACTCCGGGAGGGGCAGGGATCACCCGAGTTCCCGGGATCTGGGCCCCAGGCCGGGAGAGGCGCTGCGGGGTCTGAACTTCCCGAGGGGATAGAAAACCAGCAGGGAAACCCCACCTGCAGCCGCCTTCCCATGGAACACCTGGATCGAGGTGCCTGACCCCGACTGGATCCTCTGATCCGGGACAGACCCAGCCCCTGTCCCGGGCTGGATTCCCAGATCCAGGAGCGACTCACCCCCCCCTTCCCCGGGCAGGACCCCATTCCCCATTCCCCTTTTTCATTCCCCGTTCCCTTTTCCATTTACCCTTCCCTATTCCCGTTCCCTGTTCCCCACTCCCCATTGCCGAGGTCTCTCCCATTCCCGTTCCCCAATCCCGGGGTCTCCCCCGGTCCCCGTTCCCCATTCCCGGGGTCTCTCCCGCTCCCGGGGTCCCCCCCGGTCCCCATTCCCGGGGTCCCCCCCGGTCCCCATTCCCGGGGTCTCTCCCATTCCCGGTCCCCAATCCCGGGGTCTCTCCCATTCCCGTTCCCCATTCCCGGGGTCTCTCCCATTCCCGTTCCCCAATCCCGGGGTCTCCCCCGGTCCCCGTTCCCCAATCCCGGGGTCTCTCCCCCTCCCGGGGTCCCCCCCGGTCCCCACTCACTCCAGGGCGCTGACGGCGCTGAGCCCGAAGGCCACCGGGAGGGCGAGCAGGGGGGCGGCCAGGGCGGCCGGGCCCGCCGGGAGCTGCATCCCGGCCCCGCCGCAGCACCGGGCCCGCGGACTTCGGCCCCGGCACCGGCCCGGGCAGCGCCCTTAAAGCCACAGAGCCGCCCGGAGGCGCCGCGACACGGCGGGACAGACGGACGGACGGACGGACGGGGGGACACGGAGGGACAGGGGGACCCTGGCAGGGAGGGAAGGAGTCCCGGGAATAAGGAAGGAGTGGGATCTGGGACTGGGATCGGGAATGGGATCTGGGGCTGGGATCCAGGGAGGGACTGGGATTGATCTGGGACTGGGATCCGGGACTGAGATCAGGAATGGGATCGGGACTGGGATCCTGGGGCTCCAGGCTCCCAGATTTTGGATTTTCCCTGGATAACCCCACCCCCTCCTCACCCTGAAATGGTTTTAATTAAAAGCAAAGCCCTTGACTCCGTAATTAACAAAATTAGCAAAGAGTCACATCAAGTATCCCAAGAACAAAATCCAGCTTTTTTCCCTGAAAAAGCTTGGAAAACCCAACTCCAGGGCAGCCTCCCACCCTAGAAAAAACCCCTCTCTTCCCAAAAAACTCCAAGGATTAAACGTAAGGAACAAACAAGTTTGATTTTATTTACAGACTCCATGAACAAAATTTGTATTTCCAGAGGGTGTTTTTTCCCATTTTTAGGACAACAAAATCCAACTGGATTTTTCCAAAGTGTGGTGCTGGAATTTTAGGTCTTTGTCATCCCAAAGCACAGGAGGTGTTGGCAAAATCGCTGGGAAGGGAATAAATCCCCCCTGGATCCATCAAATCCTGGAATTCCCAACGGATCCAGGCCAGATCCGCCCATCCAGAGGCAAAACTGGAGGCACCGGTTCCCCAAATTCCCCAAAATCTCTCGGATTTGGGATTCCAAGATAAAATCAAGGAATAAAATCCCCACCCCCTCCCGGAGCAGCCATTCCCAAAAATCCCAAACTCCTCGGAATTGGAGTCCCCTGGGGGATTTTTGGGGCTGCTCCAAACCCTCCCCGTGTCCCCAAAAAAAGCTGGAAAGCTTTTCCATGGGGGAAGGAGGAGACGTGATTCCAAAAAAAGCCAGATAACATCAGGAGAAAAGAGATGGATAATGAAGTTTGGGATAAGAATTCCCAGGAAATCTGTTGGGAAAAGCCCTCCTCAGTAGTAAGGTCGCCGTGGGTTGTTCTGTAGGGAGAAAAAAACAAACCATGGAAAAATCATCAGGATTGGGGATTTTATCCCAAAAATCACCACCTGGATTCTCTGGGAAAGCCACTGGAATGGGACATTTTCCAGTTTCTTTTCCCCAAAATTAAAGGCAGCTCTTGGCTGGAAAAGGAAAAGGGAAACTCCAAGCTTGGTTTTGCCCCCTGTAAAATGGTAATTCCAAAGGAATAATGGGATTCGTGGAGAAGCTTCCATTGGCAGGGGTTTAACTGGGATAAAGCTGGGAATAAAACTGGGATTTGAATGGAAAAAAATGGGAAGGAGAATTCTGCAGCCAGGGAATACAGGGAGGACGATTTGGCGCAGGATGAGGAGAGGGATTCCATCCAAGAGGAATTTCCCAGCTGCCAACATTCCCAGAGCTACACCAGGGATTCCAGGGATCTGTCCCTGTGCCTGCCCGGGTTTGGGTCACTCCCGTTCCCATGGGTCCGTCCCTGCCCCGTTCCTGGCACTCTCCCTCCTCACTGGCTCCGCTCTGTCCCGTCCCATCCCATCCCATCCCATCCCATCCCATCCCAATTCCCACGATCCCAATTAAATCCCGCACCAACGGGCTGGGCTGGAAGCGGTGTGCCAGCATCGTGCGCTTGTGGAAGCCTCGCACTCACTAACCCCATCCCATCGCCAATCCCACCACTGCATTCCCGATATCCCAAAACCATGATCCCGATCCCATTATCCCGTTGTTATCCCATTATCCGAATCCCATACCAATGGATTAGGTTGGAAGCGATACACCAGCATCATGCGCTTGCGGAAGGCCTTGCACTCACTCATTGATCCCATTCCCATTATCCCAATCCCATTCCCGTTATCCCATTCCCGTTATCCCGTTGTTATCCCGTACCAGGGGATTGGGCCGGAAGCGGTACGCCAGCATCATGCGCTTGCGGAAGGCCTCGCACTCACTCATTGATCCCATTCCCATTCCCGTTATCCCATTCCCGTTATCCCGTTGTTATCCCATACCAATGGGTTGGGCCGGAAGCGGTACGCCAGCATCATGCGCTTGCGGAAGGCCTCGCACTCACTCATTGATCCCATTCCCATTCCCGTTATCCCATTCCCGTTATCCCGTTGTTATCCCATACCAATGGGTTGGGCCGGAAGCGGTACGCCAGCATCATGCGCTTGCGGAAGGCCTCGCACTCACTCATTGATCCCATTCCCATTCCCGTTATCCCATTCCCGTTATCCCGTTGTTATCCCATACCAATGGGTTGGGCCGGAAGCGGTACGCCAGCATCATGCGCTTGCGGAAGGCCTCGTACTCGTCGTCCTCCTTGGTCAGCTCCGCCGGGCGCTCGATCCCGAACCCGGCCCCGTCCATGGTCGTGGTGCCCCTGCGGAACACCGGGAACGGCGCGGCTCACACACCCCTCTGTCCCTGGGAATTCCCATGGGAACTGTGCCCCGGGACCCTCCTGGATCTGCTCCCCGATCCCCAGGGCCTGGCGCTGGATGGGAGCAGGGATTGGTTTCCTATCCCAAATTCCCAGGGTTTGGATGGAAGCAGGGATTGGGTTCCTATCCCAAATCCCTGGGGTTTGGTGCTGGATGGAAGCAGGGATTGGTTTGATTTCCCAAATTCCCAGGGTTTGGTGCTGGATGGGAGCAGGGATTGGTTTCCTATCCCAAATCCCTGTGAATTTGGACAGAAGCTGATCCACCCGAAGAAAACCTTTGGAATACCCAAAGTGGGATCAAATCCCAACATTTCTGGGCATGGAATGAAACTAAGACTCGTAGGGTGACACAAAGTTCTGATCCTGGCTGGAATATCCTCCACTGGATGTGCTTCCCACAGTTTTTTAAAATATTTTCATGATTTTATGACTCCAAGGAGAGCAAATATTCCCAGGAATTTCTGATTTTAAGGATTAAATCCTGGGAGAGGGGAGGTGCAGACAGGAATTCTTAGAGCTGTACTTCCCTGTGGAAATTTGGGTCGGAAATTCAGGATTTGGGGGCTCAGCCAATTCCAGCTACAGCCACAAATCCAGGAGAAAATCCTCCCCAGAAAAAAAAATCAGGAATTTTTTCCCAGGCTGAGTTTTCCATGCTCAGGTGAGAAATCCCAGCTGGGCTGTGATTCCAGCAGGAATTCCCAGAAAAAAAGGAAGGAATAATCCATAGGGACACTCACTTGCTGACAGGGTTCTTAATTCCCTGCCCATCGGATCCCAGTCCCTCTCCTTCCTTCCATCCCATTTTCATCAGCATTTGGTATCCGATGTTTTCCACCGTCAGCTTGAATTCCTTGTACTCAGAATAATCCGGCTCCCGGCCCTCCTGCAGAGGAAAAAGCAGGAAAAATGGGGATTTCTTAATCCATGGATCATGGGAAAAGCAGTTCTACCCCCCTCCAAACTGTGATTTTGGGAAAGAACTTCCAGGATATCCCAGGATTCCAACAACAGCTCCGGAATTCCAGGTTGTTCCCTGGATCCAGCCTCAGATCCGGTTCTTTCCCAAGGCTGAATCCCAGGGAATGTCAGGCCCCGTGCTGGAAAACAGGGATGAGGCAGCTCCCAGGAATTCCAGGGCTTGGGAAGGACTGGAAGGTGCTGGAGTTGCACCATTCCCAAAATTCCCATTTTTTTCCCAGCTTGGTACCCACTGATCCCAAAGAGGAACCGAGTGGGAGGTTTGTCTGGAATTCCAGAAAAAATCCCAAATTGTGGAATTCCAGAGTGGAAAGGGACCTTAAAGCCCATCCAGTTCTGTGGGCAGGGACACTTCCCACGATCCCAGGATGCTCCCAACATTCCTTGGACACTTCCAGGGATGGAGCAGCCACGGATCCTTTGGGAATTCCACCCCAAATACTGCCCCAATTCCGTGCTAACAGTGGGAATCTGATCCCTGTTTTCCCTGCAGGAATGGCTGGAGCAAGGAGAGCTGGAGGAATTCCCAGCTGTGGGACGGGTCTGGAGCATTCCCGGAATCCCAGGAATCCTCACCTTGAGTGCCTTGAAGGTCTCCATGAACTTTTCCAGCTCGTCGGGCGGGAGGAAATCCCCGATGAAATGTTTCCCTCGGCCCATCTGGGTCAGCTGCTCCGCCCACTCTGCAAAAGCAGGACAACACCGAGCTTGTGGAAAATCCCTTGGGACTCCTGGAGCATCCCGGGGATGCGGGACACCCCCAGGCTGAGAATCCATGGGGAATCCCTTGGAATTTGTGCAGCATCCCAGGGATTTCAGGGGAATCCTGGAGCACAAAACCTCCCAACAAGAACCCCACTCTGGAAAACCATGGAGAGAACAACTCTCATGGAGAATCCCTTGGGATTTCAGGGACATTTGGATTCCAGGATGATTCTGGAGCACAAAACCTCCCAGGAATGCACAGCGAAATCTCTGGAAAACCGCGGAGCATCCCTTGGGACTTGTGGAGCTTCCCAGGAGGGACTGTCCCTGCAGCTCCCAATCCATGAGGACAGGGATGGAATTCCCAATCCCACCCACTCCAGTGCTCCCCAGGGATGGAATTCCCTCTGGAATTCCCACCCACCCCGGGTCTTGTCCATCTCCATGCGGCGCAGGCGGTGCTCCCACGTGCCCAGCTCGCTGTCCACCTCCTCGTCGCTGTCGTAGCCGTGCTGGTGCTGCTGCAGCGCCCGCTCCCACAGCAGCTGCATCTCCTGCATCGCCCGCTTGTGCTTCATGATCATGTCGTACATCTGCTGCATCTGGGAACCACAGAAAACCGGGTTTGTCCTGGGAAAAACGGGGTTTGGGCCGGGAATCCCAGTGGAGAACAGCCCGTTCCACAAAAAATGGCTCCAAACCCTACAGAATCCCAAATCCCAGCCCCGAAAGGCAGGAGAGCTGTGCCTGTGCTTCGTGATCAAGCGGCACATCTGCTGCATCTGGGAATCATGGAAAAATGGGATTTGTCCCAGGAAAAATGGGATTCAGCCCCAGAAAAGCTCCTTTGGGATTTGGGATTTTAGGGCTGGAAAAGCCGTCAATCCCAAACCCTTTGCTATTCCTGCTGATTCCAGTCCCACGCTGCTCCCAGGGATTCCACGATGGAAAACCTTTGTTATTCCCATGGGAGGGGACTCGGGGGGGATTTTTGGGATTCACCTCCTGCTGCTCCTTCAGCTGCTTCTTCTGGGCCTCCGAGAGCTCCGTGACTCCCACCAGTCCCACGGGTTTGCCCTTCTCGTACCCCAGACCCTTCAGGTCCTGAACTGCAGGGAAAAAACAGGGAAAAACCTCTGGAAAAACCTGGGAGGTTGGAAAAACCTCAGAGGGGGAATGAAAGGGAATAAAAGGGTGGGAAAAGAAAAGAAAGAAAAAAGGAATTCTGTTTGTAATTGCCACAGAGCAAAAGGGAAAATAAAACCGCAGGGAAAAAATGGGATTGACAGCAGAAAACTTGATCCATGTCCATCTCAGGAAATAAAAAACTACTCTGGAGCCAGGAAATTCCCAGGAAAACCCAACCCCACTCACCTGAGAGGGGAGAGGGAGAATCCAGCTGCTGCACCAGCTGGGGCAGGGGCAATTCCACCTTCTCCTCCTCCGGCCCCCACCGGCTCTTCCTCTTCTTTTTGGTGCTGCCTGGAGCAGGATTTGGGGCCACGGGTGGATTTGGGGTCGTGGCAAGATTTGGGATTGCAGCTGGGTTTGGGGCCATGGCTGGATTCGGGACTGGGGCAGAATTTGGGATCGGGGCTGGATTTGGGGCCAGCTGATCCGGAGGGGAGGTGGAGGATGAGGAGGGGGCAGGAGAGGCCGAAGGAATGGGCAGAGCAGAGGGAACAATGGGAGAGGGAACGGGGAGAGCCAGAGGCGGCGGGATGGGAACGGGGAGAGGGAGAGGGGAGGGAACGGGGAGAGGGGGGAAGCACACGGGGGAGGGAGAGGCCTCGGGACTGCTTTTCCGTTTGAGGCCGGATTCCTGGGAATTCCCGGGAAAAGGAGGATTCCCGGGAAAAGGGGGATTCCCGGGAAAGGGGGAGCCCCCGGGGGCAGCCCGGGCCCTGCGGAACTCCTCCAGCTTCTGGCGGTAGTAGCGGTGCCCTTTGCTGTGGGGCTCGTACAGGAACCTGCAAACAACAACGGCACCAGCTGGGAATTCCTGCTGGAACGATCACAGAACATTCCGGGGCATGCCCAGAACATTCCCACAACAGCATTCCCGGCCCTGCAGCTCCACTCAGAGCACGGATCCAGCCGTAAAATTCCTGCCTGGAATGATCACACAGCATTCCCCGGGCATTCCCTGCTCTCCAGCCACACTCAGAGCTGCAATCCAGCCGTGGATTTCCTGCCTGGAATGCCCAGAACATTCCTAGATCATTCCCAGCTCTCCAGGGCTGGGATCCAGCAGTGGAATTTTCCTGCCTGGAGTGCCCAGAACATTCCCAGCTCTCCTAGGCTGGGATCCAGCAGAGTTTCCTCAGGAATTTTCCTTCCTGCAATGCCCAGAGCATTCCCAGCTCTTCAGGGCTGGGATCCAGCACTGGATTTTTCCCTCCTGCAATGCCTAGAGCATTCCCAGCTCTCCAGCACCATCCCGTGCATTCCTGCAGCCAGTGCAGCTTCCACTGGCATCAGGGAACACAATCCCATAAAGGAGAAACAGCCCCAAAAATCAGGAATGTGCTGATTCCTCTGCACACCAAACCTGAGCACCTCAATTCTCACTGCTCCAAAACCCCAACCTAAAAATTCCCAGGACTTTCCCTTGGAATTCCCTGGAAAACAGCCCCCAAAACCCAGGAATTTCCGTATCTGAAGGCAGGGATGTCCCTGCTGTTGTGCAGGGCAAAGTTCCCACCTCAGCCCCGCAAACTTGAGCACCTCAAGTCCCACTTCTCTAAAACCCCAATGTCCTCCAAAACTCAGGATTCCCGGGACTTTCCCTTGGAATTCCCTGGGAAAAAGCCCCCAAAATCAGGAATTTCCATATCTCCACATCTGAAGGCGGGGTTCTCCCTGTCGTTGTGCAGGGCAAAGTTCCCACCTCAGCCTCCCAAACCTGAGCACCTCAAGTCCCGCTGCTCTGAAATTTCAACCTAAGAATTCCCAGGAGTTTCCCTGAGAACTCCCTGGGAATTCCCTGGAAAACAAGCCCCAAAATCAGGAATTCCCTGTACCTGAAGGCAGGGTTCTCCCTGTTGTTCTGCAGGGCAATGGCCTCCACCTCGGGCCCCCCTGCAGCCACGAACTGCGCCAGCTTCTCGGCCGAGTTGCGCGTCTCCTGGTCGGCTGGGGGGGAAACTTTAGGCAGGGATTAGTCCTGGGCCCAGCTCACCCCAGCCCAGCCTAACCCGGCCTAAGCACCCCAGAGAGGCCTAGAGTCGGGTTCAAAGGGGGAGAATCGGTACAAAGCAACAGTTAAAAAGTGCAAAACATCAGTTTAAATCTGAGTTTGGGTGCAGGGGCGGGGACTAAGGATCCCGGTGAGGCCTAAAGCCGGGTTTAAAGGGGGAGAATTGGAACAAAGTGGCACAAAAACTTCAGTTTAAACCCAAGTTTGGGAGCAGGGACAGAATCTCGGGATCCCAAGAGCACAGTTATGTCAAAAGCCAGGTTTGAAGTGGGAAAATTGGTACAATGAAAGCACAAAAACTCCAGCTTAGGCCTGGCTTTGGGGAGCAGGGATGGGAGAGATGAGAGGTAAGGCAGCTTCGGGCTCCCAAATCCCAAATTTTCCCTGTGCCAGGTACTTTTCTGTAGGATTAAACCCCTTAGAATTAAGCCTAATTAAAGGCTTTGTAATTTTTCCCTCTGTGAGGCACTTTTCCATAGGATTACAGCACCTGGAATTATCCCTAATTAAAAATTTTGTATTTTTCCCTTGTGCCAGGCATTTCTCCATAGAATTACACCACCCAGGATTATCCATATTTCAAGGTTTTGTCCCTGAATTACCCAGGAACAAAAGGGAATCCTTTGGAAAATTCCAAATTCCCTATAAATCCACTTAACCCCCCTCTCATTGCACCCCCTGGAGGCTGTTTCAGGAGAAACTCCCTATGGAAAATCCCAAATCTCACCTGGAAAGGGGTGGATACTCCAATAAAATCCAACAAAAAAAAAAAAGAGGGGAAAAAAATCCCCTTTTCCTAAATTTTCAGTGTTGGAGAATTATTTTGGAATATTTCTGACAACAGCAAAGAAAATCCCATTCAAAATCCCAGCAATATTTTGGGAATCCACATTTTTGGCACAAGGATTTGATTCTCCTTCCAGCTGGGAATTTTCTTTCCAGGCAGCCAAATTTCCACGCCAGTCCCAAATCAATCCCAAATTTCCCTCGTGCTGTTGCCATTCCCCAGATTTTAGTGGGAATTACCTTTTTGGGAAGAGGCTGCCTGGGAATTTTGATTTTCTTTCCTAATTTCTGCCACTTTCTTCCTGTAGTAAAGGAATTCTCTGCTGTTCTTATCATGCAAAAACCTGGGAAAAAGGGAAAAAAAAGGAGTAATTATTATCCAAATATTGATATTCTGGGATAGAAACAGCTGCAGCTCCCACGTGGAAAAATGGAGGAATTACTCAGAATGAACGTAAACCATGGAATTAGATTCTGGAGTTTTAATCCAAGGATTTCCATCCAAATTTTTATTGATTGAAAGGAAGTTAAGAAGGAATCCTCTGCCCACCAGTGCTGGGATTGGAAAACTCTTCCACCCATCAAATCCAAACATTTTCTCCTCTCAAATCCCAAATTCTCCCCCTCAAGGAAGATCACCAAACCCAAACTTCTCCCTCTCCCAGGGAACCATCCCCAGCACCCTTTCCTGCCTTTTCTCCCCAGATGCACCATTCCCAGGGAATAAACCCTTCCCAGACTCACGAGAAAGCAGGGCTGTCCTTGTAGCCCCCTTTCCCCCCAAATCCAGCATTTCCTGAGGACAAACCCCATCCCAGACTCACGAGAAAGCAAGATTGTCCTTGTAATCCCCTTTCCTGTCCTTTCCCCCCCACATTCAGCATTTCCTGAGGACAGAACCCTCCCCAGACTCACCGGAGAGCAGGGTTGTCCTTGTAGCCCCCTTTCCTGTCCTTTTCCCCCCAAATTCAGCATTCCCCAAGGATAAACCCTCCCCAGACTCACGAGAAAGCAGGGTTGTCCTTGTAGTCCTCCATGGCGACCTTCTCGAGCTCGGGGCCGCCCTCAGCCACGAACCTGGCCAGCTTTTCCACCACCTGCCGCGTCTCCGCGTCCTCTGGGGGCAAAACTTTAAGGAGGCTGTCAGTACTTGGGGTTCAACTGCCCCCACAACGGGAAACAGGGAATTACTGCCGGGAGCCACGGCGCAGACACACGGCAAGATGGGGAGAGAAAGGATGAAACGGGGCACGCAGTTGTAGAGAGGCGTTCACAGCAAAATTCCTCATTTCCTGAGCTGCCCCGGGGGATCCTACAGGGAGAATCTAAACTTTGGGGTGAGGACGGTTAAAGCTCGTCCCATTCCCGCTTTTTATGTTATCCTAAGAGTGCCTTGGACACTTTCACAGCTTTTCTGGGAATTCCAGCCCATTCCAGCTAGGAATTCCTTCCCAAAATCCCACCTAAACCCACCCTCCCTCAGTTTGAGGCCATTCCCTGGGTCCTGGAATTCCAGCCCTTATCCCAAATTCTCTGTAGCTCTCCTGGAGCTCTTTTAGGCTCTAAGGTCTCCAGGGAATTTCTCTTCTCCAACCTTTCCATGACCACTCCCAGGTATCCAGGGGCAGCCACAGCCTCTCTGGGAATTCCAGCCCATTCCAGCCAGGAATTCCTTCCCAAAATCCCCTTTCTCAGTTTAAATCAATTCCCTGTGTCCTGGAATTCCCACACCAAATCCATTCCCTGGGTCTTGAGATTCCATCCCAAATCCCAAATCCCTTCCCTGGCTCCTGTTCCTCCATCCCTTGCCCCAAATCCCAGCCCATTCCCCCCTGGGCCTGAGGGAATCCTGCCCCCACTGCACCCCTATCCCATATCTGAACCCCAGCCCATTCCCCCCTGGGCCTGAGGGAATCCTGCCCCCACCGCACCCCATCCCGGGATGGGCACTCAATCCCATCTCCAGCCCCAAGCAGGAGCTGCCACTGACCTTTGATCTCCAGCCACTGCTCGTAATCCTCCTCGTCGTCCTCGTCGGGGCCCTGGAAGACGCTGAGGCGGCTGAGCACGGGGCCGGCCCTGGGCTGGGCGAGGCTGCGGGCCTGCAGCATGCGGCTCAGCGCCTGCCCCGGCCGCTTCCCCAGCAGCCCCGGGGGCTTCTTCCCGGGCTGTGGGGCCGGGGCACTCCCAGGGGTGTTCGGGGCGTTGGGGGCACTTTCTGTGGGGAAAACAAAGGGAAATTGTTATTGGGTTTGGGGTGGGAAAGGCTGCAGGCCTGCCCCGGCTGCTTCTTCCCCACGTTGGGAGCTTGGGCATTCCCAGAATTATTGGGGGGATTTGGGGCAGTTTCTGAGGGGAGAACGAAGGGAACAGAACTCCTGGGAATTCCAAGTTTGGACTAGGAAAGGAAGGACCTACCAGCATTGGATTTTTCCCTCTGGAGCTTCAGGAATTGCTGCAGGAAGCTCCCATCGTTCACAAACTTGTTGGACACGGAGGCCTCGCTCTCAGAGCCATCGCCTCGCTCTCAGAGCCATCGTCACTGAACAGGAAAACAGGAGCTGGAATCTGGGAGCTTCCCTGCCCTTCCCATGTGGGACTGGGGACAGGAAAAAACTCCTGGAACTGGTCATTCTCCTCACCTACCACCAAATTCCCAGAAGAACCCCAAATCGCCTTCTTCCTCCATTAAAATTGGGGTTTTCCTCCCCTCTGCTCCACCAAAATTGGGATTTTTGCTCCCTATCCACCAAAACATTGGGTTTTGTCCTTCTTGGGATTATCCTTCTTTGCTCCATCAAAACTGGGATTTTCCCCCCCTTGCCCCACCAAAACTTGTGATTTTCCCCCTTCAGCTCCCCTCCCACCACTCCATGATTCCCGGGACGGATCCGCACGTACTCTCCGAGCAGCGGGAGCTGCGAGATGCTGAGGGAGTTCTGCCGCGCCTGCTGCTCCAGCCGCGCTCGATCTCCCGTTTCTTCTGGGCGATCAGCTCCTCCTGCTGCAGGATGTTCACGCTCGTCTTGGCCGACTTGGACTGCGACACGCCGAACCACCGGCTCGCCTTCCCTGAGGTAAAAGGGCGGGAATTAGCATGGGAACTGTCCGGAATGAGGGGGTGCATTCCCTGAGGGAAAAGGGCGGGAATTAACTCGGGAATTGCATGGAATCAGGGGCGCATTCCCTGAGGGAAAAGGGCGGGAATTAACTCAGGAATTGTGTGGAAAGAGGGGCGCATTCCTGAGGGAACAGGCGGGAATTGTCCAGGAATCAAGGGCCATTCCCTCTGAGGAAGAGGTGGGAATTAACTCGGGAATTGCCTGGAATGAGGGGCACATTCCCTGAGGGAAAAGGTAGGAATTAACTCGGGAATTTTCTGGAATCAGAGACCGATTCCCTGAAGGAAAAAGGTGGGGATTTAACAGGAGCCATCCTGAACCGAGGGCCGCATTCCCTGTGGGAAAAAGGGGGGAAATTAATGGGGAAACCATCGCGAATCAAGGCTCGTATTTCCTACGGAAAAGAGGGGTCCCGAAACAAGGCTTGCTCTCCCTGTGGGAAAAGGGAAGGAATAAACTGTGGATTCATCCCAAACTCAGCTTCCCAATAGAAAAGAAAAGAAGAAAAAATCAACAGTGGAGTCTCCACAAACCACCAGCTCAGCTTTCCTACGGGAAAAGAGAGGGAATGAACGGTTGGGTTTCCAGTGGGAAAAGGAGAGGAAAAATCATCAGTGAATCCTCCCCCGAACTACCGGCTCTGTTTCCCTGATGGAAAAGAGGAGGAAAAATAACGGGGAGACCACCCCGGACCCGAGGCTCGGTTTTCCTGTGGGAAAACGGGGGTGAAATTAACAGAGGAGCCATCCCGAACCAGCAGTCCGGCTTCCCTAGGGGAAAACGAGCCGGGAACGGACGCGGGGATCCATCCCGAACTCCCGGCTAGGGTACGCTGCGGGAAAAAGGAGCGAATTTAACGGGGGGGCTTCCCCCAGCCCCCGACTGTGCCGGCACACCCCCGCCCCGGGCGCACACCCCCACCCCCGACTCCCGGAGGCCCGGGGGCGGTGCGGCCGAGCCGGGGGATGGCAGCGAGGCGGGAGGAGCGGGGCAGAGCCCCGGGAGGGCTGGGGGCAGAGCGGGAGCGGCGGGAGCCGCCCGGGCCGGGCCGTACCTGGCGCATCCCTGTGGTTGTCCATTTTGGAGCCCCCGTCCCCAGCATGCCCCGCGCCGGGCGCGCCGCGCCGGGGGCCGCGCCACTGCAAGCGCCCCTGGGAGATGTAGTCCCTCAGGGGGCCGTCCCGCCGCTCTCCCCGCTTCTCCCGCCGCACCGAGCCCCGCTCACTGGGCGGCCGAACCTCCCCCGCTCTGGCGGCTCCGCCGCTACGGTCATTCCCCGGTTCGCCCCGCATCGATCGGTGCGAAAGGGCAGACTACAACTCCCACATCCTCTCCGCGCCTGGGGCGCTCGGACTCCAAGTCCCGTCGTGCCCCGCGCCTCGCGGCGGTGTTGTCGGCGGCCCCAAGATGGCGGCGGTGGCGGCGGGGCGCGGCGGCCCCTCAGCAGCCGCCGCCGCCTCAGCAGCCGCCGCAGCCGGCGGGAGGCGGCGGGAGCGGTTCCGGGGAGGCGGCGGGAGCCGCGGGTGGTGCCGGAGGCGGCGGCGGAGGGTGCCGGAGGCGGCGGCGGCGCCAGCCGGGCCTGCGCCGGGCTCGGGGTCGGGCGGCGGCGCGGCCCGCGGGCGAGTCGTGGGTACCTGGCACTGCTGGGCCTGGCCGAGCATTTCCGCACGTCCAGCCGCCCAAGGTGCGGCTGTGCGTGCACTGCCTGCAGGCCGTGCTGCCCCGCAAGCCCCCGGCCCGCATGGAGGCCCGCACGCACCTCCAGCTCGGCTCCGTCCTCTACCACCACACCCGCAACGGCGACCAGGCCCGCGGGCACCTGGAGAAGGCGGTGAGCGGGGCTGGGATGGCCACGGGGGGCACGGGAAGGGCGGAGCGGGGGGGGTGCCGCCGCAATGGAGGAAGGTTTGGGGGGTGGTGGGGGACGCGGATCTGGGCACTTGGGGAAGGTAAAGAGCAGCGGGAGGGGCGACCGAGGGGTGCTGGCAGCTGGAAAAGATGAGGAGCTGGGCCGGGGGCGGTGGGAGGCCCCTGGCACGGAGGGGGACGGGTGTCAGGGCGGTTCTGGTGGGCGCTGGTGCCAGCCTAACCCGCTTGTGTTCTCTTGCAGTGGCTGATATCCCAGCAGGTATCCTTTTCCCGCGATCCAGGAAGGACTCCCAGCTCCAAACTGCTCCAAGGAAACTCCCAAAACACCTCAAGGGTCTGGGGGGTGGGGGCATGGAATGGGTGTTTTGGGTTGGAAAGGACCTTAAATCTCATCCCCGTTTTCCTGAGGGGTTTTGGAGGCTTTGCTGCTGTTTCCCACCCACACTTTGAGGTTCCCTTAACCCTGGTGCCAGATCCCCCAGTTTGAAGATGTGAAGTTTGAGGCAGCCAGTTTGCTGTCAGAGCTCTACTGCCAGGAGGTGAGAGAAACCCCCAAAACTCCTCTGTGCCCCTCGAATTTGGGTTTCTCCGGTCCTCCCCAAATCCCAGATCCACCAGTCCTGCCAAAATCCCAGATTCCTCCAATCCTCTGCAAATCCCAGATTCCTCCAATCCTCCCCAAATCCCAGATTCCACCAGTCCTGCCAAAATCCAGATTCCTCCAATCCTCTGCAAATCCAGATTCCTCCAATCCTCCCCAAATCCCAGATTTCTCCAATCCTATCCAACCCTACCTTGGACGTTCCAAGGTCGCAGCAGCCCCAAACTTTCCCCATTTTATTTTTATTGCTCCCAACACTCTGATCCCTGCCTCCCAGCCCTCCCTGGAGGGTGCAGCGTGGTTTTCCAGAGAATTCCAGGGCTGTGGGATCCCAGGGTCCGGGTTTATTGGTGACGGGGGGTGTCTGTGTTGCAGAATTCCGTGGACACGGCCAAGCCCCTGCTGCGCAAAGCCATCCAGATCTCCCAGCAGACTCCCTACTGGCACTGCAGGCTGCTCTTCCAGCTGGCTGTGAGTCCTTGGAGCAGCAATTCCTTGGGAAAAAATCCTGCAAAAATCCTGCATCCCCATTCAAAACAGCCTGGAAACCTTGCATTCTGTTATTCCCTAAAAAATTGCTGTTAATGGTTGATTTTTTATGCCTTTATCCCCTAAAAACTTGTTGTTAGTAGGAATGAAAAGGCAAGTCCAGGGGTGGGAATTGGTGTTGGATTGGATCAAGGAATCAGCCAGGATCACTGTGTGGGGATTAGGGACCTGGAATTCCAAGGATGGTGGGAAAAAATCCATTTTGGGGCTTATCCTGCTGGGCTTGGAAGTGTTGGATTGTTTTGTGTTTAATGTGGGATGGGAGAAGGAGGGAAAGGAGCAAAGAAAAGAATCCAGGAAAATTTTTGTCCTGCTCTGAAATATGCTCCAGAATATTTATAAGTTAAAAATATTAATGAGAATAGGGACACACTGAAGTGTATTATGGAAAAAGGAACGGTTCGTTTCCTATTGATTAAGAAATATTTAGTGTCCCAGAAATTGAGGAATATTTAATTTTCCAGGAGTCATCCTGAGGACTTTGAAGCTTTTCCTCTCCCTGGAGCTTCCCATTTTTCCCTGATTTCCCATTTCCTTGGAGCCTGTTCTCTTCCTGAATTCCCACCTGGGTTTGGGAAAGGGATAAAATTTTGGAGCACACCTTGGGGGCTCCTCTTGCTGGGAGAGCCTTGCTCCAGTGTGACAATCCCTGGAATCTGATCAGCACTGGATTTTCACCCTTTGCAGGATCTGCCTCCAATGTTTAACCAATTCCTCGTTAATTAGGAATTTGAACATAAAAAATCCTTCTGGGCTCAGACAAATCCATAGATTTCTTTGGAAAATGGGTCTAAAACCCCTCTAAGGAGCAGGAATTTGTAAATCCAGGGATAATGGCGTTTCTTTGGGATTCATGGAGCAAGTGCTGGGTTTTCGTGGCATTTTTTATTCCCATTTTTTCAGCAACTGCACACGCTGGAGAAGGATTTGGTGTCGGCCTGCGACCTGCTGGGCGTGGGGCGGAGTCCACGGCTCGCGTGGTGGGCTCCGAGTACACAGGTGACAGCGCTGCCTTCCGAGGGATCCCTGCCTGGGTTCCTGGGTTTCCTGCCTGAATTCCTGAGATTCCCTGCCTGGGTTCCTGAGATTCCCTGCCTTGAATTCCTGGGGTTTCATCCCTGAATTCGCTGGGATTCCCTGCCTGAATTCCTGGGATTCCCTGCTGAATTCCCTGGGGCTTCCTGCCTGAATTCCCTGGGATTCCCTGCCTGAATTCCCTGGGGTTTCATCCCTGAATTCCCTGGGATCCCTGCCTGAATTCCCTGGGATTCCCTGCCCGAATTCCCTGGATTCCCTGCCTGGATTCCATAGGATTCCCTGCCTGAATTCCCTGGGATTTCATCCCTGAATTCCCTGGGATTCCCTCGCTGAATTCCCCGCCGTTTCCTCTCGGAATTCCTGGGATTCCCTGCCTGAATTCCCTGGGATTCCCTTCCTCAATTCCCTGGGATCTCCTTTCCCAATTCCCTTAAACCTCTTTTTCCCCTGTTTTTAGAGGGAGAAAAAGGCGGATATTTTTTCTTGGTGTTTTTCTCTTTGTGGATGGAATAATGTTTTTTGGAATTTAACTTTATTTTCTTTCATTCCAGAGCCCTGTTTCTGCTCAGCAAGGGGATGGTGAGTTGGAGCTCTTTTTAAAATAAATTATTTATTGTTTAATTGTAAATTCCAGAGGATTTTTTTTTTTTTTGGAGTGGGGAAGAGATAAGCAGGATTCTTGAGGATCACATCCAGTTTTTCCCCTCATTTTTTTCTGGGAAAAATAAAAGGATTGTTGCAAAATTTCACTGGAGCTTTTGTAATGAGGGATGGAAAAGCTGGTGGGGTGGAAGGGCTGTGGGACTCAGGTGAATATTCTGATCCTATCCTGAAATTGGGGAATCCATGGAATTGGAGAATCCTGGAATTGTTTGGCTTGGAAGAACCAGGACACCTTCCACCGTCCCAGGCAGCTCCAGCCTGGCTTTGGGCAGTTCCAGGCGTGAGGCAGCCCCGTTTTCATGGGGAATTGTCACTCGCCTGAGGGTTCATCCTGACAAGTTTTCCTGGCTTTTCCTTGGGCGTTGCAGCTGCTGCTGATGGAGAGGAAGCTGCAGGAGGTTCACCCGCTGCTGACGCTGTGCGGGCAGATCAGTGGAGAACTGGCAGGGCAATCCCATCCAGAAGGAATCCCTCAGGGTCTTCTTCCTGGTCCTGCAGGTCACACATTACCTGGGATGCCGGCCAGGTACGTGCCACGCTTCAGCTGGGAGTTTGGGATGGGATATTCCATAAAAATCAGTCCCGAGGGGATTTTTGGGTTTATTGTAATGGAAGCAGATTCCTGTGGGTTTTATTCCCAAATTAAATGGAGAGCGAGGAAATCATTTTGATTTGGAGATGTTGTCCATGATATTTTTATATCTGTGGTGGTCTCTGTTGCTTTCCCTGGAGTGTTGGAGGGAATAAAGGAATTCTTGGGGGATTTTGGGAATATTTTGAGCATCCCTTGGTGCCGTTCACCCCCGTGAAGCACTGGGGGTCATCAATCCTAAACCAACGCCCTGAAATGGGAATTACCTCTGCTGGGAGGTTTCCCCTCTCCCAGGCAGTCCAGTCAATCCTATAACCAACGCCCTGAAATGGGAATTACCTCTGCTGGGAGGTTTCCCCTCTCTCAGAGCCTCCAATCAATCCTAAAGCAACGCCCTGAAATGGGAATTACCTCTGCTGGGAGGTTTCCCCTCTCTCAGAGCCCTCCAATCAATCCTAAAGCAACGCCCTGAAATGGGAATTACCTCTGCTGGGAGGTTTCCCCTCTCCCCAGCACTCCCGCAGTGGATGGAGGCATCCCCTGGGGACTGTGTGCACTCCTGCCAGGTGAAGAGCGTGAAGCCGTGCCTGAAGCAGCTGCAGCAGTGCATCCAGACCATCTCCACCCTGGCACGACGACGAGATCCTGCCCAGCAACCCCGCCGACCTCTTCCACTGGCTGCCCAAGGAGCACATGTGTGTGCTGGTCTACCTGGTGAGAGCTCCTCGTTAATTGATGAGGGCTGACGAGGGGTTTGGAGCCGGCAGGGATGGGCTTTGTGGCTGCTTTGGGCTGATTTCCCTCAGCGACCCTGGGGTGATGCTGAGGGGGCTGCTCAGTGTGTGAGGAGATTGCGGGCTGGAAATGGGAATTAATTCATTAATTATTAAATGATTTATTAATTAGATACCTGACTCAAATGGAAATGGAGTTATTTGTACAAATCAGAGTCACTTTGGCTTAATTTTATCAACTGTTTGTGCTTTTTTTCTCCCTCAATGTCCATTGGGTGATGCTGAGGGGCTGCTCAGTGTGTGTGGAGATTCCAGCCTGAAATGGGAATTAATAATAAGTAATTAATTAGCTGATTAATCAATACCCAAATCAAGTAAAAATGGAGGTATTTGTACAAATCATGCCACTTTGCCCTTAATTTTACCAACATGAGGAACGCTGGACTTGGAATTGCTGAAGGATTTTGTTCCATTTCTTGGAGATTATTCCAATCCTTGGTAAAACATCTGGGATTTGAGGAATTCTGTGAATTCCCAGCCCTTCCCTCTCTGCACAGATAAATTTTGGGAGTCATGGAATAGCTGGGGTGGGAAGGAGTTTTAAAATCATCCATTCCCACCCTCTCAGTCTCACCTCCCACTGTCCTGGGGTGCTCCAGGACATTTTTCCAGGGATTTCTGCTGTGGGATTGCATCCCAGGGGGATTCCTGAGGGGATAATCCTTGCTGTGCTTCCTGCAGGTGACAGTGATGCATTCCATGCAGGCAGGCTACCTGGAGAAGGCTCAGAAGTACACGGACAAAGCCCTCATGCAGCTGGAGAAGCTCAAAGTAAGGAAAAGGGCTTGAATTCAGCTGGATTCCAGGAAAATTCTGGAAAATCCATTATTCCTCATTTAAACCCATCTCTGGAAAATCCCGTTATTTATTCCTCATTTAAACCATCTCACTGCCTTGTTGAGCTGCTGGGTAAGCCTAAGACTAAAACTAAAACTAAACCCCTGGTTTTAAGGCTGGATGGTGGCTTTGGAGTACAAAAATCAGGTTTTTGGGGGTTTTTTGGGTGGGATTTGAATAATTCCCTAAATGCCTGATGGAATTGCTCCTGCTCCTTTGGCAAGTGCTGGACTGCAGCCCCATCCTGTCCTCATTCCAAGTGATTCTGTTGGAGCACATCATCATGTGCAGGGCTGGTCACGGGACACAAAGCTACAGCCCTGCAGGAGGTACGTGGGATTCCAGCATTTCCCTGCCTGGGAATGGCTCCCAGGAAATGGGAATATTCTGCAGGAACAGCCTCTAAACCGTGGGAATTGCAGTGTTGGGCTCAGCAGGGAATTCCTGCTGGGTTGTTCGTGGGTACAGCCGGCCTTGGTGGGGCTCAGGACTCGGGAGATGTGGGATTGGCTCCTCTTAAACGTTCATTTAAGGGCACTTTGGAATTGATCTTGGGATAATCAATAACTGGTTGGATTGGCACCTTCCTGGTGGCAATTCCAGGCTGATTCCAGTGGGTTTTTCCCATTCTGTCCATTCCAGAGTGGCTCCTTTCTCTTCAGGTTCCTGCCTTGTTCAGGTGTTTCCCAGTTTTTCACATTCCTGCTTTTCCTCCCCTTTTCTGGTTCATTTGGGTTGTTCCAGATGAAACTGGACTTTTTTCCATTTTTCCAATAATTTTAAAGTCCTGGGAATCCATCCTGGGCCTGGATCATCCAATCCCTGCTGTCAGCTTTACTGGGAATAATGTGCTGGGAATGGGGGAGGGATTCAGTCTCCTGAAATCATCCCAATCCCAGGATTTTGGAGGTTTTATATCCCACTTTTTCTGGAAAGCTGAAGGGATCCATGGCTGTGAATCCCAGGGGGTGGAGGAAAGCGTTCCAAAGCAGCTGGGATGTGGGAGGGATGCGAGGAGATCCCTTTTCCTGTGCTAGAAAATCCCCTTCTGTCCAGGGCTGGAGATCCTGGATGGGATCCCTGCATCCGCGAGGGGCACGAGGGGCGGGGATGGGGAGCACGAAACTGAGGGAAAAAGGGTCAAAAACGGGGGACTTGTGTTCTTGCCCAGATCTCCCAGGTGTGCCAGCTGTGCCAGCAGTCGCCCAGGCTCTTCTCCAACCACGCTGCCCAGCTGCACACGCTCCTGGTGAGTTTGGGGTGAAAGCTGGGACTCTGCATCCCACCCGCGATTCCGGAGAGGAGATTCCCTGGGAATTGCAGGGCTGCACCGTTCCCACCTGGAAACCCTTTGGAAAGGGAATGCCAGGGTGGCTTGGGCGGGCTGGTGGCACTTCCCACTGTCCCGAGCTGCTCCAGCAATTCCTGGAGAAAATCCCACTTTTCTGTGGAGAAAATTCCTGGGATTTGGCTTTTCCTGGGTGTTTTGGACATCCAGGGCCTTGTCTGGCAGCAGTTTTCTTCATGAAGGGAGGGGGAATTGGGGAGGAATCAGCTGGGAAAAGGGGAAATCCAGGGATTTCGGCTGTGCCCACAGGAGATGGCTTTGTGTGGGAATTATAGAAGGCAAAAGGTTTTTGTAGGGAATACTGAATTATCCACGATTTTAATAAAGATTTTGTTAGCTAAATTAAGCTTTTTTTCCCCATGAAAAAATTATTTTAAAGGGCATTTTGGGGAAATTCCTTATTTTCCCCACACCTGAGACACGTTGCTCCCTTTTTCCTGCTGTTATCCCATTATTTCGATGGATTTGGGGAATGTTTTGGGCTGCATTCCCAAAATTATCCTTTATTTTCCAGGGTCTCTACTGCATCTCTGTCAACTGCATGGATAATGCAGAAGCACAATTCACTACAGCACTGAGGGTGAGATTTATTTCCCAAATTTTCTCCTGGAAACTTAAGGATGGCAATTTGAATTTGGAAGGAAAACCTTCCTTAATTCCATTATTCGTTAACGATGTTCCTTGGATCTGGGGGGGATTTTTAGCATTAAAATATCAATCTGTGATTTTTTAGCCTGGTTTTTTTAATGGGAATGAACAAATCGTGAGGAAAAGTTGAAATATTTGGGAATTCTCTCCTCCCAGCTCACAACGCACCAGGAGCTGTGGGCGTTCATTGTCACCAACCTGGCCAGCGTCTACATCCGCGAGGGCAACCGGCACCAGGAGGTGAGCTGGGCTCCTCATCCTGCTCTTCTGGGAGAAAACCCTGGGATTTGCCTTTTTCTGGGTATTTTGCCGTCAGGCCTTGCGTTGGCAGGGCAGCAGCTCCTTCATGGGGGGGAGCAAAAAATATCTTAAAGTTTGTGAATTCTTCAGTTAAGATTCTGGTTCTCATTAATCAAATCCGATACAAAATTCATTATCGGATCCACCAGCTCCAAGTTTTCCGTGGAATACAATTATCCAGGAAATGCTGTGGAACTGGAGGAGATTTGGGATAAAACTTGGATTTTTGGGATCAAAACAAGCCTAAAATTCCCAATATTGGGATAAACGTGGGCCGGTTTGGGTGGAATTTCACTGTTTTGGTGTTGATTTTTCCTCTCCCACTTTTGCAGCTCTACAGTTTATTGGAAAGGATAAATCCCGACCACAACTTCCCAGTGAGGGTGAGAATTCCCACAGATCCCAACGTTCCGGGCTGGGAATGACGGATTTGCAGCAGGATTTTCAACAAATTAGGGGAAAAAAATCCAACTTAATTCTAAGGGGAAACTCGGGAGGATTTTGGGGTGGAATTCCTGGGAGTTTGGGTGGGGATCCTGAGTATCCATGGTTTTATTTCCATAGGTTCCCACTGTCTGCGGGCTGCAGCGTTCTACATCCGAGGGCTCTTCTCCTTTTTCCAGGGAAGAATAACAACGAGGCCAAGTGAGTCCAAGCCCTGGGAAAAATGTGGGGAAAATGTGGGAAAAATGTGGGAAAAGCGACCCTGGCTTTTTTGGGATGGGAGTGGGAATGCCCAGGCTTTGTGTCCATCCCATTCCCACGGATTTCTCCTGGATTGGCCGGGGAGGAAGAGCAGGAATGTGGTGGGGGTTGAGCTCTTGCCTTGGGAATCCTTGGGAATCATTCCCTGCAATCCTTGGGAATCCTTGAGAATCTGGGAGTTTTATTCCTTGGAATCCCTGGGAATTTTGGGCATTTCATTCGCTTCAATTCCAGGGAATCCTTGGGATCTCATTCCCTGCAATCCCAAAGAATCCTTGGGGATTTTGGGACCCTTATTCCCTGGAATCCTTGGGGATTTTGGGACCCTTATTCCCTGGAATCCTTGGGAATGTTGGGATTTTAATCCCAAGGAAGCCCTGGCAATCTCGTTCCTCTCATCCCTTTCCATCCCAAGGATCTGCACCTTCCAGGGGCCCAATCCAAGAGAAAACCCAGGAATTCCTTTTCTCCGAGCTCCTTTATCCCAGCTGCTGCCCCTCCATCCCTGCAGGGTCACCCCAGGCTGCTCGGGGGGCTCCAATCCCGTTTTTCCCATTTTTCCCGTTTTTCCCGTTGTTTCTCCAGGCGCTTTTTGCGGGAGACGCTGAAGATGTCGAACGCCGAGGACCTGAACCGCCTGACGGCGTGCTCGCTGGTGCTGCTGGGCCACATCTTCTACGTGCTGGGCAACCACAGGGTGACTGCAGAGCCCTCCCCACCCCGGGGCCCTGCCTGCGGCATTCCCAGGAAACACCCCAAAAAATCCCCAAGGAAATCGGGACAGGGCTGGGAATAATGGGATTTTTATGGGTTTTTTAGTGCTGTCGCATCAAAAATCGGGACTGTCCTCCCTCTGGATCATCCAAATCCCTCCCAATCCCTGGAATCCTGGAACTGGCATTCCCAGAACAAATCTCCAAAAAATCCCGACTGAAATCGGGGAATCCTTGGGAATCCATTGTCCTACAATCCCAAGGAGCCTTTAGGAATCTTGGGATTTTATTCCTTTCAATCCCAGCCAATCCTTGGGATCTGATTCCTTTCCACCACAGGGAATCCCTGGGAATTTTGGGATTTTATTCCCTTCAATCCCAAGAAATCCTTGGGAGTCTTGAGCATTTTCCTGCCTTCCATCCAAAAATCCAATTTCCCACCGGGAACGTTCCATCTTTTCCATTCAATCCGTGCTGGAAAGCGCAGGAAATATTCCCAAAATTCCAATTTTCCCCTTTCCCTTCCCAATTTTCCTAGGAAAGCAACAACATGGTGGTGCCAGCCATGCAGCTGGCCAGCAAGATCCCAGACATGTCCGTGCAGCTCTGGTCCTCTGCCCTGCTCCGGGGTAAATCCAGGATAAACCCGGGATAAACCCGGGATAAATCCGGGGTCTGGGAGCAGCCTGGGCAGGGTGGGGATCATCCCAAGGGTTTGGGGAATGGGAATGGGCAGCTCCAGGGGGGATTTGGGATCTGGGATTGTCCTGGAAAAACGGGATGGAGCCTCAGGGAGGGTGGGGATGGCAAGGAGAGCGAGGAGCTGATGCCAGGGCTGGGAATGGGCAGCTCCAGGAGCTGATCCCAGAGGGGAAAAGGGATCAGGAGAGCTGGGGAGGGTTTGGGAGAGGGGATGGAGGGATGGGGCACGGGGAATGGGCTTGGGACGGGAATTCCAGGGCACGGGGAATGGGTTTGGGATGGGAATGGGGATTTTGGGAAGGAATTCTTGCCGGGAGGGTGGGGAGGGAATGGGCTGGGATCCCAAGAGTTCCTTTGGAAAAGGGAAAGATTCTCGGTGGAACTTTTGGGGCAGATTTTGCCTCAAATTGAGGCAATTTTGGGATCTTATTCCCTGCAATCCCAGGGAATCCTTGGGATTTTGGTGCAGACCCCAAACCCAGGGAGGATTTTTGGGATGAGGGCAGCTCAGAGGTGGGAATGGGGTGAATCCCAGGATGTTTTATAGGATGGGGGGAGCTCAGAGACGGGAATGGGGTGAATCCCAGGATGTTTTTTGGGATGGGGGGAGCTCAGAGGTGGGAATGGGGTGAATCCCAGGATGTTTTATAGGATGGGGGGAGCTCAGAGACGGGAATGGGGTGAATCCCAGGATTTCTCTGCCTTTCCCAGACCTGAACAAGGCGTGTGGCAATGCCATGGATGCCCACGAGGCCGCCCAGATGCACCAGAACTTCTCCCAGCAGCTGCTCCAGGACCACATCGAGGCCTGCAGCCTCCCCGAGCACAACCTGATCACGGTCAGAGCCCGGCAATTCCCAAAATCCCCAAAATTCCCACTTTGCCCGTGGCAAAAAGGACCCTTGAGCTCATTTTTATACTTTTTAAAATGTTTTTTTAGTGCTGTTGTGTCCAAAGTTGGGATTTTCTTCTCTCTGGATCATCCAAATCCGTCCCCAATCCTTGGAATCCTGCAGTTGGCATTCCCAGAAAGAAACCCCTCAAAAATATCCCAAAGAAAATCAGGACGAGGGTGGGAATAATGGGATTTTTGAAGGGTTTTTTAGTGCTGTCTCATCAGAAATTGAGATTTTCTTCCCTCTGGATCATCCAAATCCTTTCCAGTGGGATTTTGGCTTTGAAATCCCAAAAAAACCCTGGAAAACCAAATCCCAGCAGGGTTCCCTGGTGGAATTTGGGATTCCCTGGGAATTCCGTGATCCTGAAGGAATTTTTCCCATTTCCCCTGGGATTTTGGCTTTGAAATCCCAAATAAACCCCTGGAAAACCAAACCCCAGCGGGATGAGGGGTTGGAATTTGGGATCCCCGGGGCAGGGAGGGTTTCCCTGGGAATTCTGTGGTGCTGAGGGAATTTCCTGGGAGTTTTTCCCGGGATTCTGATCCCGTTTTCCCCTTGCAGTGGACGGATGGACCCCCCCCAGTCCAGTTCCAGGCCCAGAACGGCCCCACCACCAGCCTGGCCAGTCTGCTGTGAATTCCAGCAAAACTCCAGGAAAATTCCTGGAAAAACTCCAGGAAAACTCCAGGATATCCACCAACAACATCCCGTGAGGGGGGGGAAAAAACAAAGCGTCAAAAACTTGGGAAAAGAAACAAAAAAAATCCATGGAAAAGCTTCCGAATTCCCTCTGGTAGAGAGAAAAACCCAGGAATTTTCCAGGGATTCCCAGAGCCTCCGGAGCTGCTTTTCCAGGTGGGAATGCCCAGGTGAATGCCAAGGTTGGATCCTGCAGGGAATCCTCGGGGATAGGGGACGAGGAAATCGTGGATTGGATTCCCAGCTGGAATTCCCCCAGGGGAAATTCCCATTTTTTTGGGAAGGAGGAGTTCCAGGGTTTCCTGGGACGTCCCTCCCGCAGCCACAGCTCTCCCCACGCCGCTGGGATTGGGGAAAATCCGGAGTTTTCCTGCTGATCCCGAATTTTTCCAGGCTGAAGGCACCACCTGTGCCTTAAGGATTCCCAAATCCTGGGAATAAATCCCGGTCCAGAGGTTTGGGATGGAATTCCAGCCTTGCCCTCGGCACAAAATTCCCTTTTCCAGGTTAAATTCCCTGGTTTTAGCCCAGTTTATTGTGGATTTCCCAGAAATCTGGGAATGCTTAATCCAGAAAAAAGCTGGAAGTTTTTCCAGGCTCCCAGCAGTGCCTGGGCTGGAACTGAGTTGTTTTTCCCAGTTGGAATTTCTCCAGATTTCTGGGAAAGGGGGAAGGAAAAGAACTCTGGAATTCTTGGAGAGAGGAAAGCCAAAGCCCTGCAACTGCCAGAGATTTTTGGGAATTTTTAATCCCACCTGGATGGGAAGGAACCTTAAAATTCCCTTTAAGTCCCTTTAAAATTCCGTCATTCCCATCATCTTTCTTTCCCAAATCCCATCTTTTTCCAGAGCAAGGAATTTTTTCCACTCAAATTCCTCAATTTTTCCCTCTGGAATTCATTTCAGGGATGAGGTTTTTTGGTCCCATTCCCAAAAAATTTGCATTTTCCAGGTTTTTTTTCCTACGGAAATCCTGGTCCTAGGCCTGCTGAGGACCTGGAAATCCCTGGAAGTTTTGGGGATTGAGGATTGAGAGTTTTTATTCTGGATTTTTTTGGGGATTAAGGAAAATCCTTGGTGCCATTGGAACTCAAAAAAGCAGGGAAAAAATCCCAAAAAATTCCCAAATCCAGGGATTTTCCAGCCTGAATCCAGGGCTGGGAATTCCCATGGGAAATTCCAGAGGCTCCCAGGGTTTTTTTTTGGGATATTTGGGATCTCACTGAGACAGAACCATGCCAGGAGTTTTGGGATCTGGGGATTTTCATCAGGAACTGGGGGAGTTTTCCCAGTTTTTGATTTTTCTGGGAAGCACATTCCCAGTTTTTACTTCCTCTGGGGTGCAACAATTCCTTGGAATCTTTTTCCTTGGAATTTCCCTGGCTTGGGAAATTCCCAAATCCCAGCCAGGAAATCCAAATTTTCCTTTCTAACTCCGTAACGTTCCAGAATATTCTGGAATTTCAGGCCCAACTCAGATCCAGCTTGCAATTTTGGGCTCAAATTCCCAAATTTTGGGCTGGAAAAGCCTCGGGATGATCCCAATCCCAGGGCAGGGACACTTCCACTATTCCAGGCTGCTCCCGCCTGCATTTGAGCACTTCCAGGGCGGCCAAATCCCAAAAACTTTGGGAAAGACCCGGAAAAAAATGGGGAAAAATTGGGGAAAATCCCAGTTCCGGAGAGCTGTGGTTGGGGCTGAGCTTTGGGAATTCCCCAGGTGGGAAAAGAGCCTTTCCCACCCCCCGGAGACGCCGAGGAAGGAGAATTCCCCAAAATTCCCAATTTTCCGCCTCCAGTCTCCTGTGAAAATCCATCAGAATCGGTGAAATGGCCGGAAAATCCCTTGGGAATTCTGGGGGGGGTTGGGGTGGGAGCTCTGAGCTGATCCCAGCTCCTGAGGGCTCCTCCTGCCGCCGGAATTCCCAAATCCCCAAATTCCCGGCGGAAATTCCAATGTACAGAGCTTTTTACCATTGTATATTAAATTATTTAATAGCTTTTCGTGGCAGTTTTTCCTTTATTTTTTTTTTTTTTTTTAATGGAGCAGAGCTGGGAAGGAGGAGCTGAAATTCCTTGGAGTTTTGGAGGGAAAGAGGAAAAAGGGAAACCAAAGCTGTGGGATTGAATCCCTGCAGGAACGATCCCAAATCCATGTGGAAATGATCCCAAATCCCAGTGGGATTGATCCAAAATCCCAGTGGGAATGATCCCAAATCACAGTGGGAATGGTCGCAAGGGTTAAATCCCAAATCCCACCAGGAATGATCCCAAGGGTTAAATCCCAATGGGAACGACCCCAAATCCCAGGATTAAATCCGTGCAGGAATGATCCAAGATTCCATGTGGAATGATCCCAAATCCCACTGGGAATGACCCCAAATCCCACCAGGAATGACCTCAGATCCCACCAGGAATGTTCCAATAGTCCATCTAGAATGATCCCAGATCCCACCTGGAATGATCCCAGATCCCACCGGGAACGATCCCAGATCCCACTGGGAACGATCCCAGGGTTAAATCCCCCCGGCAATGATCCCGGTGGGATTGACCGCAGATCGCACCGGGCCTGATCCCGGCGGAGCAGCCGGACCGGACCGGACCGGACCGTGCCGCTCTGACCCAGATCCCCCCCGGAGTCACCGAGCGGGGCCGGCCCCTCTCATCCCCGGCGCGGGCCCTGTCCCGGCCCTCAGCCGGCCCGGCCGCCACCCCGCCCGCCCTCCCTCCCGCAGAACCGGCTCCGCCGGCCGCGGGGCCTCCCCCGCTTCCTGCCGCCGGCCCCCCCTATCTGCGGCCCCAGCGCGGCCTGCGCGGGCGGATAAGGGCGGCGGGGCCGGCCCCTCCCCGCGCCGCCATCACCTCAGCCGGCCCCGGGAGGAGCCAGCGCGGCCCGGCCCCGGGGGAACGGCCGCGAGCCGCCGGGCCCGGCCCGCCGCACCGCCCCCTCCCCGCGGGCCGCATCCTCATTGGCTGCTCTTGGGTGAACTCTGTGTCCTACTGGGTATTTCAGCTATCAATCAAATACAGACCACACCTCTTTCCTCCCTCACAGCAGGGGCGCGGCGCGCACGGCGGAGTCGCGCCGCTGATTGGTCAATATGCCCGTCAATCAAAACCAAACCGCGCCCTTTCCATCGCCGCTCTACTACGGGGGCGGGGCTACTACTGACTCTTCGCGCCGATTGGCTGCAGGGCAGGCAACCCACCTTTCTATTTGCCGGCGCGGCTGTCAATCATTAGTTTAAAGATTAGAAAAACCCCACCCAACGCAGAGCCCCAGGCCTGGGCAGGGGGCGTGGCCGGGCGCGAGGGTGTCCCAAATCTGCCTGGCAACGGGGGGGGTCTCGCGGGGGGGGGCGCGAGGGGAGGGGGGGGCACAGGGGAGCGGAGGGGGGGAGAGGGGCGGGCACGGAGCGGGGAGGGGGGAGAGGGGCGGGAGGATGGGGGGGGACGGAGAGTGGGGGGGGGCGGGTCCCCCTGCGCGCGCAGCCCCCCCCGCCCCCCCCTCCTGTCAGTGGCCACCTGAGGGAGCCGCCTCCCCTCCCCCCACGGCCCCAGTCCGGGCCGGGCCCCGCTGAGGAGGAGGAGGAGGCGGCTCCGAGGGGGCTCCGGACAGTGAGTGACACCCGCGCCCCAGCGGCCCCCCCGGGGGGACGGGGACACGGGGACACCCCCTCACACACACCCCCTTCCCCCCGAGGGCGGCTCGGGGCGCGGGGCAGCGCGGGGGGAGCGCCGGGCACGGAGATCCGGGGCGGTTTGTGAGGGGCACGGCCGTGAGGGGAGAAGGGAGCGGCCAAAAGGCGCCCGTGGCGAGGGGGGACCCCGTGAGGGACGCGGGGAGCCGGGCTGAGGCAGAGCGCCGGAGCGCCAGGGGGGTTCACGGGGGATGAAAGTGCGGCCGGGTGTGGGGGGGGGGGGGAGCGGGGGGTGTGGAGATAATAAAAAAAAAAAGCTTAAACAAAAAAAAAAAAAGGCAGAAAGAAAAGGTTGGTAAGTCCGAGGGGAGGGTGGGCACGGGTGAGGGGGTGCCAGGGAGGAGCGGGAGTGCATCCTGGGAGTTGCCCGATAGGCACAGCCACCAGAGCATGTCAGCAAAGGCGGATTATTGGTGCCAGAGCCTTGGGAAGGCGGGGGAGGGGAGTGGGGGAGGGGACGGGCCACCACCGGGGCCACCGGGGCCACCGGGCCACGGCCCGGGCAGCGCGGGCAGCCCCGAGGGAGCCCCCGGGCGTCCCCCGGTGCGCGGCGGGCCCGCAGCCGCACTCCGGAAACACGGAGAAAGTTTGGGCACGGGGCGGGGAAACGCGGGGAAAGCAGCGGGGATGTGCGGGGAAAGGAGCGGGGATGTGCGGGGGATGCTGAGGGGTTTGGGGAGAACCGAGCGGTACAGGAAAAGTTGAGGGGTTTGGGGAAAAGTTGAAGGGTTGAAGGGGAAAAACAGGGATGCAGGAAAAGCTGAGGGGGTGTTGGGGGGAAAACAGGAGTGAGGAAATGCTGAGGGGCTTGGGGAGAACTGAGTGGTACAGGAAAAGTTGAGGGGTTAAAAGGAAAAACGGATGCAGGAAAAGCTGAGGGGTTTGGGAAAATGTGAGGGGTTTTGGGGAAACCGAGTGGTACAGGAAAAGTTGAGGGGTTTGGGAAAAGTTGAAGGGATGAAGGGAAAAACAGGGATGCAGGAAAAGCTGAGGGGAAAAACTGGGGAAAACTGAAGTGTTTGGGGGAAACTGAAGGCTGTAGGAAATACTGACGGGTTTGGGGGAAAAACAGGGCTGAGGAAATGCTGAGGGGTTTGGGGGGAACTGAGTGGTACAGGAAAAGTTGAGGGGTTTGGGGAAAAGTTGAAGGGTTGAAGGGAAAAACAGGGATGCAGGAGAAGCTGAGGATTTGGGGAAAAGCTATGGGGTTTGGGGGAAATTGAGTGCTGCAGGAAAAGCTGAGGGGTTTGGAGAAAGATGAGGGGTTTGAGGAGAACTGAGGGCTGCAGGAAAAGTTGAGGGGTTGAAGGGAAAAGCTGGGATGCAGGAAAAGCTGAGGCGTTTTGGGAGAACTGAGGGGCTGAGGGAAAGCTGAGGATCTGCTGGGAAATCCCAGGGGCTGCTGGAAAACTCGAGGCTCTGGCGCAAAATCTGAGGGCTTGGCCTAAAATTGGAGGGTTTGTCCCAAAATCTGAGGGGCTGAAGGGAAAGCTGGGGCTGCA